TAATTTCTTAGCTCTTCAATATATATATATATATATATTCAATATATATAATATAATATATATATTATATCTGTCTTGATTACTGAGCCTTTGGGGTAAGTTTTGAAACTGGGAATTATGAGTCCTCCAGTTTTGCTCTTCAAAGCCTCTTTTAGTGGCTCTGAGTCCCTTGAATTTCTGTTTTCATTTTTGGATCAGTTTGTCAAATCTGTGCCAAACGGCAGCTCAGATTTTGATAGGGATTACTTTGATTATTTAGATCAGTTTGAAGAAAACACGCCCCCCCCACACCTTTGAGGTGGTGGGGATCAAACCCATTACCTTGCAAATGTTACACAAGCATTCTACCGCTGAGCTCCATCCTAACCTGTGAGAGTTATAATCTTAACAATGTGAACTCTCCTGATCATGAACTTGGCATTTTTTCTCGACTCAATCAAACGCTAGGAATCTAGTTCCTCTATAGATGTTCATTTCAGCTGGCTTTGATTTATGTTAGTGAAATTAAAGTCCTCATTAGATGACCAGGCACAGTGCCGAGTCTAACTGTTCTTCATTAAAAATGGATTAATATAAAATAGATACAAAATTGGTATAAAATGGATACCTGTCTTATGCTTTCTTTCATATGAACCTTCATGTACATATGGCATTGTCTGTTGCTTCTGGTAAACTTCCAGGTCTGTTACCTAGAGGTGGGTACATGTCAGAAGAACAGCTGGAATGACTGTAAGGAAGGGGACCCTTCCAAGCTGCTAACATTCTGACTCTCTTGGTTTCTCTTTGGTATAAATAGTCTTTCCTAGGCTTGTCATGGGCATGTACCAATGATGTAATAATGGTGATTATATCAGAAGCACCATAGGTAGCTGTTGGCATGATAGGTAGTAAGGTGTTGGACATGGACAGTTTGACTACCTATTCCAAGAAGCCACACAGAATCCATCATCTTTGACAGAAGACTTTAATACATTAGTGATGAAGACACTGCTCACTACCATTATAGTATTCCAGAATGTAAGCAACTCAGCAGTAAGTATGTGCCTCTTGCATGGGATAACATGTTTGGATATAAACATTCAGAACATTTGTAGGGCACAGTGTTCCCTCTCTACCAGCTTCATCAGAGCCTGAAGAAGAGGAGGGGATGTGTGATTGGTAGACACTGTCACCTCTATTTTCTTATTTTTTTTGATTCTCAGTCATCATTTGCCTGTTATAAAACAGGACTCTAAAATAATATTCTTGTAGTTCATTTTCATTTGAGTATTGGTCTGTAGCTATTCTTCCTTCCTTCCTGTTGCTTTGTGATTTGATCTGTGTTCAGGAATCCATGTGTGATCCTGGTGATCTTCTACCTGGTTAGCGAGACTGTCAAGAGTTGAGACCAGCCCCACAGACTCCGTTGTTCCAGAGCAGAGTTTTGAGAGAGTAGGAACAGATATTTCTCAGATGTGGCCTTAGGGTGCTCTGGGTCTGTTATTTACTCTCCCTGCTCACCACCACATGCACTACACATGGTTTACAAGTGAAGGCCCCCAAATTAGATACATATTCTTTTGGTTTAATGATCTGTTCTGTTAACATTCGAACAGCATCATGAAACATCACTATTGTAAACATGGATCGTTTGTATAGGAAAGAGAATGGGGAGGAAAGAACACTTGATTTGATTACTAGCAATGAGCAAGTATATAAAAAAAGCAAGTGTACCTGGTCACATAAGACAGCTTATATAGACATTGTTACTTTGCATAAAGGCATCCTTCTCAGGGGTCTCAGGAATGTCCCTGATGACCTACATCCTCCCTGAGAATCTGTTATTGAACTGTAAGTCATGGTCTAAATCTGTTTTTGCAAATACATTTCTATTGATACATAATACATCAGTTTATTTTATCATAGCAAAATATACCCAATATTGGAATATATATGGTTTAATTATGTCATAGTTCTGAGAAACATGAGTAGGACTGTTTCTGGTGAGGGCCTCTTGCTGTATTGTAACAGACTAGATGCTATCACATGGTTGGAAAGGGAAATAGTGGGGGAGAGGAAGCAAGAGAGCTAGAGGCTTTGCAACAGCTGTCCCTGAGCTCACTCATGAGACGAATTTATCCTTCAGCAAAACACTTATCCATCCTCAAGAATTACCCCATAGCTTTTCAGAGTGTTAAGAACTAACTCATGTTACACTGGGCACCAAACTGGGGACAGTAAACTTCAGTGGACAAACCATATCTAGACTATGACATGTAACCATTCCCATTATCAGTGCTTGCTTTCACACTACACAGTGCAGTTTAGTAACTAGAACAAATTTGGCCTATAGTGCCTGAAGTATTTATCTTGCTCTTTATAGGAAAAGTTGGCCAACAGCTGATTTGGAGAGTCTAGACTTTTGGAAGGTTATGCATGAACCAGAGATACTTTGAATTTCAGCAATCTTGCCATTATATGAATTTGAGGTCAGTTGGATGGACTATTTCTCTTTCTCCTTCCCTTCCAACCCTCCTTATTTTTCTTATTGAGAACTTCAGGCTTGGGATTGAACTTAAGGACTTAGGTATATAGGCAACTCTACCATGGAACTATAACCTGACTACAAGAACAGAAGTGGTGATTTTGCTTTGTGTGTGTGTCTAATGTTTGTGTAAAAATTTGTTTTGGTTTTCTTTGTTATAAAGGATCTTACTTACTATGTAGCTTAGGATAGTTTCAGACTTGAAATCCTCTTGCCAAGGGCAGTAGTCTTAGGAAAAATTACTGTATCGGGATGCATGAGACTTAGGTTTGATTCTCAGGGGAACATATACATACACAGGAATACTTGCTTGTGAGCAAATGTTTAACTTTGAAAATAATATAAGACGTTGTTTTAAAGCTAAGTGCATAACAAGACTAATCTGTGATTATTTACAGACCTGATTCCCTAGCTTTCTTCAGATACTATGATTTTATTAGAAGAAATACGTTATGATTTTTCCCCAGTCATTTTCTATCCCTCTTGAAAACCAAGTATTTGCCAGCATAACTTATTCAAATTTAACACAGTGCCAGTCTTACTGTTGGGAGTTAGGTATTTTAGCTCAGTTCTGTTTCTTTTCATTTCTCTCAGCTTGAAGTCAATGGCCCAAAATGACTCTGCTAGTGGAGACTCACTTCCGTAAGGAGAAAGACCGGGCCAGAGGCTGGGATGAGCATGCCACTGCACCAGATCTCTGCCATCCCTTCTCAGGACGCCACTTCCACTAGAGTCTACAGAAGCAAGACCAAAGATAAGGAGCAGGAGCAGGTAACCGGAGTCCTGTGGGGATCTTTCCTGTGACTGTAGCTAGATACTGACCGAGCAGCCATGGAAGGAAGGAAGGAAGGAAGGAAGGAAGGAAGGAAGGAAGGAGAAAGGGCTGTTCTGTTTCCATTTGAGGGCAGATGTTTGGCAGTGAGGACAGCATGGTGGCAGGAGCATGAAGTGGTGGGTCATACTGTATCCGGTCAGGAAGCAGAGAGAGCACTGGTGCTTGGCTCACTAACTCCTTCTTCTTCAGTTGGGTGTCCCACCTGGGTTAACTCAGTCTGTAAACACTTCACGACACACCATAGCAGTGACTCCTAGATGATTCTAAATCCGATTAAGTTTACAATCAACACTAACTGCCATCACAAATATGTTATTTTAATGTGTGCGGATTTGTATGGGGGGTTGAGCATACTGCAACCTACCAGTGGAGGCCAGAGGACAACTTTTGATATTCCCCTGTGGATCCTGGGAAATGATCTCAGATTGCCATGCTTGGTGACAATTACCTTCACCCACTGAGCCATCTCAACATCCCCAACCATGACGATTATTTTATTCAAATTCCACTAACTATGATCTAGAATAATTCCTGAGCTCTGGTGGGCTGGTTTCTCTGCATATGTGCTAATGAGCACGGCTGGCCATGTTGAGAGGAGATTGTCTTCTGCTAGTTTCTGGGTCCTGAGGGTTTGGCATAGGCTTATCAGCTTCTTAGTGGTAAGTGGCACACTCATCTTAGTTGGCTAAGTTCCTGATTATGTCTTCCATATTCCTGAGATGAAGTTCTTAGATTCTCAAAACGAGATGCAGTGTATAAATGTGTTTGAACAAAAATTTAGGGGTATGTTACTGCATCCAGGAGGCCATTATAATCAGCCCGTCTCTGTTTTCATGGTGCTGGCCATCTGGCTTGATACTTAAATAAACATCAGTTGGATAAGGTCAGTGATGGAGGAATTTCAGGACTAATATAAGCCCAAAGGGTCAGGAAAGTCTTTCTGTAGAAAACTGGGATTATGTGGAGAGCTGCAGTTACAGGAAACGGAAAAGCAGAGCAACTCAGGTTGAGGAAATGTATAAGGTCAATCCCAAATTTTCTGATGCAGTTTACATCTGCCTGTGTTGAGAAGTGAGAGAAAAAAAACCCAAAGAGATTCTGGGAGCTGCATAGATAAGGTCTTTATGTCAGGCAATACCCAAGGTGACTTTATGCACAATTCTCTCCATAGCATGAATGGGCCTATATCTGTTCTGCTTCAGAGGGCTAATGACTTGTATGTACATAGCTGTATTATCTGTGGATGAAGACAGACCTCACATTGGGTGGTATGACAACTGCTGGGAATATTTTACAATCATAAAGGATTTTCTTACTATAACTTTGTAGCACAAATTCTAATTGTTATTACTAATAAAAACTCAGTCAGCTATCAGGAGGTGAAAGATGAGAGATGAGAGGAGCAAAGCGGCCAACCACTAGAGTTCTTACCTCCACCAGTGCTCAGACAAACGGACAATCCTGTCCTCAGACTGCCACCTCAGAACCGACTGCCTCAGACTGCACTGCTCCTCAGACTGCCTGCTTCAGACTGCCATGAGCTCCTGTCTTCTCCTTCCTTATACTCCTCACTTCACCCAGCCATATCCCTTCCTGTCTCCACCTCCCTAGTGGTAGAATTAAAGGCATGCCACTCCAAGTGTTGGGATCACCTTTGTGTGAGCTCTGTTTCTCTTTCAGACTGGATCAGTTTCATGTAGTCCAGGGTGACCTTGAACTAACAGAGACCCATCTGTCTCTGTCTCCCAAGTTCTGGGATTAAAGGTGTGCACCACCCCTGTCTGGCCTCTGTGACTAACTAGTGTAGCTAGTTTTGCACTCTGATCTTCAGGCAAGTTTTATTCATTAGATCACAAGCAAAATATCACCACAGCACTTACTGGTCTGTAAACAACTCTTTAAGATGACTACTACTTTTTACTTTTTGAGACAGAGTCTCACTATGTAGCTCTGGCTGTTCTTGGACTCATTGTATAAACCAAACTGGCCTTGAACTCAGAGATCCACCTGCCTCTGTTTCCTGATTATTGGGTTTAAAGATATGAGACACCATGGTGGTGTTTAGGTTTTTATAGACACTAATTTGTTACTTTTAAGCTTTCAGTTTGGGAACCTGAGTTGCTTCTTTTCAAAAGAAATTATATTTTAACCTTAACTGTCTTAGAGAGTAGATTCTTTTTCTTTTTCTTTTTAAAGCTAGTAATATCTTACTTTAGGCCTATTTTGAAGCAACCTTGTATACACTTAAGTGTGTGATTATTAATGCATGTGTAATTTATAAGTCTAATAGACAATTTTATAATTGGTTCCCAAGTCAGTGTTTGAAAATACATATTGTTTGACAAGATGTAAGTTACCTTCCATCTTAGGACAATGTTCATTTTCCTGCCTCAAAGGATCAGAATTCAGATCCCACTATAAGTAACAGCATCTTTTCCAAATTAAGGAGAAAATTTTAGTTCAGGGAAGTAGATGCTTCCCTAGATTTCCAGAAAGAGCTAATCCCCAGCACTGTGGGATGACTCTACCTTTATCAGGAGTGATCAGGAAGCAATGAGTCATAAAGGTTCAATTGCTGCATCTAGTGGTAAACATTGCCACTGTCTTTATTATGACTAACAAAATCATCAAACAAACAACAACAACCAAAAAAAAAAAAACCCAAAAAAAACCAAAAACCCTCCTCTACTGTTATTACCACTGCCACTTAAAACCTGTTGGCTCTAGAAAAAAAATACCACCCACCTTATATTATTGAGACAGCTTTTAATATGTACTCTCTCTGTAGCCCAGGCTAGTCCCAAACTCAATCCTCTTCTCTTGGCCATCTGAGTGTTAGGATTCCAGGTGTGTGCCACTGCTTCTGGGCTTGCACTTCACTTTCATCAAGATTGGACAAGTTGGGTAGATGCTGCATGTTCTGCCATCTGTCCCCATGCCTCGTGTGTGATCAGAGCTGAATGAATGGTGGCATTGCCATAGAGGACCCAAGCGCCTGGGACCAAATTTGTAAGATTACCCTGAAAATACATTTTTTCTTCTACCCTGAAAGAACTAGTTCACATCATTGTATTCTTGAAAGTATCAGAAAGGTAATCCATGGTCAGCTTGTATTTAGACAGCTACATAGGAAGCAAAAGATACTTCTCATGTTTTGAAGAATTCTATTTCAATCACCATTGATTTCTTCGTCTTCCTTTTTAGGCCAACAGAGGGGTTTTATCATGGAGCATCAAAGTGATAGTTACCTAAACAAATTTCAGTTTGCTGTGAAAGTATGTAATTAGGGAAATTTTAATACCAGGAAGTAGGCGCTTTATATATACTTACATAAAGTTTATAAATACCTAATACTTTATTCATCTGCACCTGTATCTGGAGCAAGAGCCTCACAGTGGAGCAGGCAATAGCAGTATTCTGAAGCATATCCATTGTACTTTACCTCTTAATTATTGTTACTTTAGTGAACTGGATAAATCATGAACACCTAACAAAGAACTTATAGAAAATCCGAGCTTTAATACTGCAGACCCTGGTTTCCAGTTCAGTACCTGGACCTGCTTTGTATCTTCAGAACAGCCTGTTTTCAGTGCCTCCTCCGGGTGCCCTGGTGCTGGTCCACTCCTTCCTTCAGCTTCCTCCCTCCTGCTCACCCTCCATCCCCTCCTTTTTTTGTTTCCCTTTTCTTCCTTCTGTTTTGCCCTTTGCTTCACATTCCTGCCATTCCAGTCTCCACAGGTCAGGAGTGTGTGTGTGTATGTATGTATGTATGTATGTATGTATGTATGTATGTATGTATGTGTGTGTGTTTAACTATTCAGGATCCAAGGTTTCCCATCAAAGCAGTCTCTGGCTTTCTCTTATTTGCAGCCCCACTGTTTATCCACAGGAGCTGTAGTATTATAGTTTTATTTTGCAGGATAAAAATTCCTTCTAGTTAGGTTTCAGCAGTGTACGCCTTTAATCCCAGCACTCCGGAGGCAGAGGCAGGTGGATCTCTGT